AAATATTTAATATAAAAAGTATAACTTCTTTGATGTAATTCAAAGTGGTTTGAATTATTTATTGCAAAGATTGTAATAAAAGTAGCCATAGCACAAATAATCCAAAACGTACTATTAAAGCTTTCATGTCCAAATGGAAGTTAATGGTTCTTTAAGCAAAAAAATAAATGTCTAATAGTTTTTAGATATTAATTAATGAATGCTAAATTAATGGCTTTTAGAAATTAGACATTATATTTGGTTTGGTCATTTATTTTAAATTAAAAATAGAGTATTGGAACTAAAATATAGAATAAAATTGAAAGAATTACATTTCATATGTGTAAGTTTTTTTAGTTCCAATTTTCATTTTCTTTTCATAATGCAAAAAAATACTTTCTTATAATAATTTTTTTATTATTAATTTAAAATCCTATTAAGCTTTAATTCTATTTACAAATGGTCTTTAAAGAATCAAAAACCTCTTTAAAATATTGGTATTTCTTTTTACTACTAAATAAGCTATATGTACTTTTTATATTTTTCTAATTTTTAGTGCTATTTAGAATTTCTTTTCACATTTATTTTCCAATTTCATAAAAAATATACTTTATTATAAAAATCTCTTTTTAAAATTTAATAAGTAAATTAGATTATATTAATCATAATCTAATATTTTTTATAAAATAATATTCTAATTTTGGATAGATTATAATATAGTAAAGAAATAATTGATGGGTCTTTATTGAATATTGAAGTAAGTGAGTAAAAAGAAAAAAATAAAATAAGTTACCTTATAGAAGATATTATCTTAAGTAAGTTGCTAATGATTAAAGGTGAATTGAAAAAAGATCTTAAGATATAGAAGAATATGCCAAAAGATCTTAGGATATTTTATAATATGCTAAAAGATTTTAGATTATGTCAAAAGATCATTAGATAATATAAGAGCATAAAAAATATGCTAAATGCATATCTTTGTAGTAAGTAAGATGCCTAAAGATATACTTGGTGTATCTTTCGATGAATGCAAAAGTCAAAGAATTGAAGTTATTAATAAGAGCAACAACTACTACCTATAAATAATGGATATTAGAAGTGAAATTTAACTTACTCCACATTTTCTATTTGTGCAACCTTGTTGATGTTATATGTTGAAAGTGCTTGCAATAAACAAGCAAAAGTATAGAAGGTTTTTTGCAATATTTTTTAAAGTAAAAACTTTACAAATATTTTATAGATAAAGAAAAAAAAAAAAACTTAACAATTAGGATGGAAGAAGGTGATTATTTCAAGGCTCATGTCAACAAGGTAAAAATTCTTATAAATCAATTAATTATTATTGACAAGTCGATATATAATTATGACATTGTCATGATCTTACTTTTGAGCCTTTTCAAGTTCTATAAATATCTTATTATAGCATTAGAATCTACCAAGATTAAAGAACTTATATTACATTATGTTATGATAAGACTTGTTTATAAAATAAATAATAATAAAATAATATATATATATATATATATATATATATATATATTAAAATAAAGATTCAACTTTCTTTTTAAGAGAAGAATAAAGTAGATATGTCAACCAATGTGGTAATGTAAAAATTAATATTAGAACTTGCTTCATTCGTAAAGAATTATGTCAATTTGTAAAAAAATATTACAAGATAAAGAAAGAAGATAGAAAAAATACTAACAATGTACATGACTAATTTGGATGGAGTGATTATGTATTCATGGCAAGTAAAGGAGCTTTTATAGCAACTATATCCAAGTAGATAGTTGATTTAGATGCTATCAAGCACATGATTCTATACAAGTATTTATTTAATAATTAAAAAGAAATTTAATTAATAATAATTTAGATGGAAGACAATGATAAAATATATGCTATTAAAATTAGAACCATTGTAATGGAGATTATTATAAAGGATTAAATCAAGAAGATAAAATTATATATAAAAAAAAATTGCATGTGAAAATAAATAAATAAATAAAACTTTTTTTTCATAAACAAATTTATTTTTCATGGTTGTAAGATTTAATTTAACATGTATAGATGTTTTATAAAGCCATTTGATGAACAAAATATAGCCAAAGGCTTTAGAACTGGAAACTTCTATTTTATCAATTGTAAAAAGATGAATGGAGTTGAAATGGTGGTGTTTGCTGGATTTCCAAAAGATCAAGACAAATTTAATATTAATCATCAATGCTTTAGTCATTTGAATGCGAGAAGTATAAAAGAACTCCAATCCATAGTAAGTAGCTTAGATCCTAGTCAATCATAATACAAAGATAACACAAACTATTTTATGACCAAATTTACTACCTTTAAAACTATTATGGCCATTGGAGCATTAATGGACTTAAAAATATATCAAATAGATGTAAGGATGGCTTTTTTGAATAGAAAGTTAAAAAAAAATATTTACATAGATTAACCATATGGATTTATTAAAAAAATATACAATCTCTTACTTATAAGTTGAAGAAATTATTATATAAGCTCAAACAAATATAAAGAGCATGATACCAATGTATTGACACATTCTTTATAAATGAGAGATTTGTAAGAAATAAGGCTAATCATTTTATATACATGATGGAATCAAATAATTTCTTATTGATTGTCATCCTTTATATTAATGATTTGATCAACTTAATTAAAATCTTGAAGATGATATATTGATTTAAAACAAAGTTTAAAAAAGAGTATGAAATAAGTTATTTGAAAGAACTTTACTATTATTTAGTAGTGGAATTTGTAAGAAATTATACTTAATAAACCATTACCATAAGCCAAAGCAAATACATCAAAGAATTTTTTTTAAAATTCAATATGGAGAATTGCAAGTCTATTATAACACCCTTGGAAACCAATTTGAAGTTGATGAAGCTCATAGATAAAGAATTTGCTAAAATTGAAAATCAATGCAAGGTGTTCCATAGAAGATATCAATATATTTACTTATATATATAATAGTTGATACAAAAATGGATCTAGTATATGTAGTCTGTATTGTGAGTCAACACATGTCAAATGCTAGACTAATCCATTGAGCAACTATCAAAAAGATCATAAAGTACTTAAAAGATACTTTGCATTTTAAATTGTGACTTAAATGTGATAATATTATTTTACATGATTATTGTAATGTTGATTAGACTAGAAATATAATTGATAGAAGGTTAACAACGAGATATATGTTTTTTATTGGAGTAGAAGCTATCTCATGGAATTATAAGAGATAATCAATAATTACAAGGTTAAGAATAGATGTGGAGTACATGGCAACAAGTTAGAGTGCAATAGTAGCAATTTGGCTATAATAAGTTTTAAAAGGCATTTGACTTGTGTTATTGAAAGCAACTTCAATGAAGTTTGATAATCAAGAATGCTTTGTTTTCACAAAGAATCCAAAGCATCATTCAAAAACAAAGCATATTGACATTCAACATCACTTTATAAGAGAGAAGATTGAAATTGAAGTGATTGACATGAACTATTGTGCAATAGAAGACATGTTTGTTAATTTGTTGACAAAAGCATAAATTAAAGATAAGCATCACATGTTTACAAAAGTATTTAGTTTGAAAGTCTTTGATCAATAGCAAAGTATAAGTATTAAATATTAAAATAAATAAGTAAAAATAAAATTAAAATAAAAAAATATTACTTTAAATAAGTTACAAATGGTCAATAGTGAGATGCCAAAGGAATTTAGAATTTAGAAAGATATGCCAAAAGATCTTAAGATATACCAAAATATCCTAAGATATGCTAAAGGATCCTATAATATTTCTAGATATGCCAAAGTATCCTATATTATGCCAAAAGATCTTACAAATTCAGTATTTATTACAAAATAAATTCAAATTTGTATATCATAAATTTAAAAATAAAAAAATAAAAAACATATTTTATTTATTTTATAATATAATAAAAATATATGTACTAAAAATTTACAAAATATTATTTATGTAATAAAATTTTCATTAAATATTGTAATAATACTTATATAAATTTATTTTTGGATTAATTATTAAATTTAGTAAAGTATGTCAATAAAATTCATATTTATTGCCTATTCTGCTTTCAAAGTTTTTGGATTACCATTTGATCCTCAGTGTCAAGGGAATTGATTTTCAGTGAAAAAAATATCGGATATTTAAAAATAAAATTTTGATATTCATACTTAAATACTTATATGTGTGTGTAATAATTTCGACATCTTATTTGCATAATATCCATATATTAACATTCATGATGCAAGAGACACAAGATGTTCTTCAAAATTAAAAGAATATGGAATTGATACTTAAAAGTATTTATGTTCATTCTAATTTGGTTCTGTTAAAGACTGCAAGTATATATGTATGTATATATATAGATATAATCATTATTTTTTAGTTTCTTCAAATTGACTATAATAATAGTTTGTATGAAGTTGGTGAACTTTTGTTAAACACATCTAGTCTAAAAAATCAGATTGTTATGTTTTTATGTTTAACTGTTTATACAAAAACTACAAATGAAAAACAATAATCTGATGTGATGCTTCAACTTCGCATTGATTGTGATAAAAATCAAGCCCCAATGACCCATATTTTTGTGTTTTGATCATGTAAGTTTGCAAAAGATACGGGTTTTTTCCTTTATGTTTTTCATCTGTATTCTTTGTTCTTTTGTACTTTTCTTCAAAGTATAATGTAGTCATGTGTCTCAATTTTTAAATTGTTGTTTTTACAAGTGCTATTACTCCTAACCCACTTCCTAAAAGTATGAAGTACCACAGTAACAACAAGAAACTATTATGGGCATTGATTATGTTTTGAAACCAAGAAATTGTGTTGAATTTCCAGTGCCATGTTCTTGAAGCTTTCTATAGTTATGACGTAATGAGTACTGTGTCCTTATGAACTTATTTTTAATTTCTCATCAAAACTTAATTAGTCATTTTTTTAAATAAATGATTTTTCTTTAATAGAATGATAGTTTTATGTCAAGGGTTATATAATCTTGACTTAGAATATTAATTTTCATTCAACATTTTTATACAGTAATATATTCTATTCAAAAATGACTCTGGAAATGTAACACCCACCATATTTTTCATGATTTACGACACAAAGAGTTTTGATTTTCATGAAAAAATTCAGGGTGTCAAACAACAGCATCCAAACGAGGCTCAAAAGAAATACCATCTAAAAGTCCATCTTGCATGCAATGCTCTGGTAAAGTGCACTGTGGCAACCGCCTCCAGAGTTTTTTAATTAAATCATACAACAAAACCAACCTATCTTTCAATCCACCAGGAATATATAACATAACAAGATCACTATATCCTGCACAACTAAAGGATTCTCCATCCTTCAAAAACTCCTCAAACAAAATCTTTGGCATGGAATCCACCTACAAAACATTTTAAAATTTTATTAGTATTGTGACTATTTCTTTGTTCCTAACATAGATAATTTAGAATATAATTACAGAAATAAATAAATAAATAAATAAAATCTGTACCAACTGTAACCAATGTAATATTCAATATATATATATATATATATATGCACACACATACATGTTAATGAATTTAGAAATAATGTGTTCTTGTTTTACTATGAATAAACAAAATCAGATGTGTTATATTGCAAGTTCAATTTGTTTACAAAGATAAATTCTTACATAGAAAAGTAACTGCAGATAGTGTTCATACATCATTTCATGTAAAAAATTTACTTCAAACATAATTCATTACAGAACAGAACTAAGATTTAAGTACATAAACATTCATGGGTACCTCAATCCATTGAAGAGAAGTTCTTTCAAGCTGCAGAATACAAATCTGTTTAGTGACATCATTCTTCATTTGTCCACCGACAGTGTAAATGTGGCCTTGACACTCCACCAAAGCATGGTAGTCAAAGGCATGAGGCATGGGAGCTTGAATTTTGCTCCACACACCTTCCACCATATCATATGCTACCAAACCATCAAACTCAAAACGCTTGGAATATAGAAACCCATTGCAAAGTATGCCTTGGTGCCACCTGTAAAACCCTGGTGGGATTATACATGTCTTCTCCCAGCAATTGGTTGCTGAATCATATACCTAGACAATAAACAATAATAAAATAACTCAGAAACATAAAATTAAACAAACAGATCTGTTTATTTAATTACTTAAAACTCTTTCATTCGTAACCCAGGTTGACTACTTATTCAAACAAGAATTTGAAGAAAAGCAACATTCACAAAAACTTCAGAAGGTTTGATTAGCTTAGATAATGAGTTTGAGATTCATGCCACTCAAAGTGAAAGATCGAATTGTGTTTTGATGCGAGTTGTTGTTTTTTTTCTTTTTCCGAGGAATCGATCTATGACTTCTTTTTTCTGTTTTTTTTTTCTTTTTTGTCTTTTCTAATATGGTAAAGCTCGTCCGTCGCTCTACTAACAGTGAATAGAAAGCGATGCATGAAGAGTATCAACTTTCAAGCGAGACTGCCGCTGAGTGGGCCACCGACAGAGGGAAAAAGACGGATCTGAATGGGGGGAGGCGTGCCTCGTAAATGTCGGAATTGCCGGCGACGAGGACTTTGTAGGAAGTGGTGTCGGCGTCGACGACCATGCCGACAGTGTGCAGCCGGAAGGGGGGATTCAGCATGGAAGGGAGCTGGCGCCACACCCGAGTCAGGGGATTGCACACCACGAACGTCTTCCACCCGTCGGCGTAGCACCCGAAGCAGATCAGCCCGCCCGCGGACGCAGCTGGGAAGAACGTTTCGTCCCGGGGCAGCGCCGGCAGCGGGATGTGGTGCCAAGTGTTGAGCAGCGGGTCGAAGCTGGAGCCGTCCCGGTAGTCGTCGTCCGTGAACATGAAGAACCAGGGGCCCTGCGCGCGCGCCTCGGCGTAGGCGCGCAGGAAGTCCGGGAGCGCAGCGCGCCGTGCCACGCCTTGCACACGCACCGGAACTTCACTAAGGCGGCCACGGGCACGCGGGGGAGGTTTTTTTCCCCCGGGGGGTCTTCGGGGGGGCTGCTCCCCAATGGGGGCTCCACCAGCCCCAAAAAACCTGTGGGGACCACCCCAGTTTTTTTGGGCCATTCCCCCCTTTTGTTTTTTTGCGGCCCCCGTCCCTGGGTTTGGGGGAGGCCCAGGGTTTTTGTGGGGGGGAAAAAACAGCAGCAAAGGGGGGGCGGTTTCCGGGAGCTTAAACCCAGGAATTTCAGGGGTTCCTTCACCCCTCCACACACGGCCTGGGGTTCCAAAAGGCCCCCCCCCCCCCCCCCCCACAGATTCCAAATGGTGAAGCCAGCAAACCCCCTCCCCTCCCCTCCCTTGCAGCGTGAACAGCCACTGCCACCACTGCGTGGATGAACGTCTCCATCCTCGTCGAATGGATGAACGCTTTTATTTTTTAATTTATTAAAATGTGGCTTCTAAAATGGGTTAGTGTGACAGTTATTGCAATTCTACTTTCTTTATCTTTAAAGGGTCAAAAACTCTCCTTCATTTTCTTTTTCTTATTTTATTTGTGGATTACTAAACTGTTCAAACTACAAGAAAATCAAAACAAATCAAACAAACAAGTCAAAATGTAAATAAATAAATAAATAAATAAGCAAGCAAAACCAAACCAAACCAACCAAAAAGAATGCAGTAACATATGACTATAACTTGCTCTATAACTTTTGTGTGAAAGTTGTGTATATATTTATTCGTGTATATATCATTAAATCCTGTAGTAGCAAAGTTGTGGAATATCACTCACAGTTGTACTATATCTACAATATTAACTCTACAATAATAACCAATAATAACTCTACAACTAAAAAGATATATCAACAATTAAAAAGAAAAATAACCAAGTTCATTACTTGGTAATATAGAAAGGACCTTCCATAGTTCTATGTCCTATTTTCTTTTACTTTCTGTCTTCCCATTTGTCATTTTACCTTCTTTTCTTTTTATTCTTTTCTTTTCTTTTCTCTTTTGTATCATTATTCAACAAAGGCATGACTATGCAACAACCAATAAATGAACTCTAGAACAATAAGCATGCCAGTACCAATTGGAGATGGTTTTTAAAATGACCACAATACAATGAGAATTGTATGTTGTTGAGTGGAAATGTCAAAGTATGAGTCATCTTTTGGATAAAATGTCACAATGTAAATTTGATTGAATATCGAGAAAGAAAATGAAAATGAAAATGAAAACAGAAAAAGAAGTGGTAACAAAGATACAGTAAATTACAACATATATGATGAAAAAGCAAATTGTGTACAGACATTGTGATTCCTGCTTTTTTCCTTCTTCTAATTCTTCATTCTTTCTTTCGCTTTGAATACTGTGTTGAAATGAATCATGATTTGGCAGATGAAGAACATGCATGCATTAAAACCAAAGACAAAATAGTGTTTAAGAATAGGAAAATAAGAGACTTTGAAATTCAACACTATTGGTATTTGTAAACCTCAAACTTAGAACAGGATAATAAGTTAGAATGAATGAATGATTTATGGTTGAATTGTATAGAAATGATTGAAAAATACATATATTTAAACACACATGTACATATACATTAAATAAAAAATAAAAACGAAAAACCTAAGCATTTCTCAAGAAATTAGGTGTCATCAACAGAAGATTTCTGTTTTTTTTTTAATTTTCTTTTTTAAATTTTAGGTACACTTGAAAAAATATTATGATAATTCATTTTTATTTTTAATTCAAGTGTGAACAAAAGTGGTTATTTTATTTAAGTTAATTACGCCTCTCCCCAAAACCAGCAAATTGGTGAAGAATGAGCTCCAGAGCTTTCATTTTTATTTTTATTTTTATTTTTTTCATTTTTTTTGAGCTTTAAGATATTGGTAGCATATATTAAAGGTAAAGAAGTTAAGATTTGTGTTCAGATTGTTTGAATTATTACGTTTCTTTTTTCTGTTTTCTTTGTATTTGGTAATTCTAGCATCTTCTCCCTTGCCCTTTTTTTTTTTTTTTTTTTTTTTTTGGGCCCCGTCCTTTCTAGAACTCTAAACCCATTTCTTCTATCGGTTCAACCAAATGAATTATTTTCCTACCCATGAATGGTCGTGTCATCCATAGGATGCAATGAAATAATTGATGCTACACACCTCTTCAAAGCTCAAAAGTTGCACCTTTTGAAGTGCAATTCAGTAAACAAGTTCTTCTTGTCTTTCCTTTTTACACTCTTTTTTCCCATGCAATTGACTCTTCCTTGGGTTTCGCTACACATCCTCCACAAAAAAAAAAAAAAAAAAAAAAAAAAAAAAACTCCCTAGAAACTGCTCAAATAACTCTGATATTGTCTTTTTCTTAAAAGGATAGGATTATTGCCATTCAAACAAAGCTCCTGAATATTCTAAATTGGAGCTACTTCAAATCACAAAACAAAAAATAAAAAAAAATAAAAAAAAAGGTTTGTTTCTGCAAGGCTGGAGGATAAAATCACGCATACACATTCAACAAGAGGTAACAGACAAGAACAGGGAGATTGGACCAAGAGAACCACTACTTCTTTAACTTTACAATACCCATTGTTCCAAAAGCGTGTGATTTTATTCAATATAAATCTTTCAAAATGGTTTTTGAAAGCTGAAGTAAGTGTGTCAAATTGGACAACTGAGGCACGCACCTGCAACATTTAAGTGCAACTCTTATTACAAGAAAAAATGAATTTTACATGGTATCAAAGAATCAGAATCACGAAGATTCATAAATCCAAAGACAATGAATAAGATAATCTAGTACTAGAATCGTTCACAACTGCATTACAATCACTACAACAACAAGAAAAACACAGATAAAAAGCACACAGTAACAAAGAAATACATTACAATACTATATAAAAAATAAATCAATAAATCAATACATTTTCTGGATTTTTGTTTTAAAACGACTGTTAGGAAAATCTGTTAATAAATCCAAATGCTCATCAAAGAATGGATCGATTTCTTTACTCTCTCAAACTTATTTTTTTTGAAATAAGTAACATAAATATATATATATATATATATATATATAGAAAGCTTCAGTAAACATCAAATTTAAGAAAAAAGGAGAGAAAGTTTTCACAGAAATCGGAATGGCTCTCTCACTAAATAAGCAGATGAAGAAGGTGGCCCCAAGACCGTTGGACCCAGCTCGGTACAACGAGAGCGAGGCCTTAGAGAAGACGAAGAAGGCGGCGTTATTCCGTGGAGTCCTTCAAGACTCCCTCATGGAGAGGGAGGTCTTCGACCACTTCACCCGCATGGACCTCCGCTCCCCTCATAACTCCGACCCTGTGTTCGATTCTCGCCACCTCCACCAGTTCGCTGCCCACAAGGCCTCCATCCTCCAGATCCTCATACCCGGATGCTTCGCCGCGAAGCAGATATCAACCACTGACTACCAGTCCCTCAAGGACGCCAGCGCCAACATCCACCCCCACATCCGATACCGTGTCTGTCCATGCTGTACCATCACGGATTGCCACGTCATCCCCCTCCCTCCTCCCCCCTGGCCCGACTACTTAGCCTACACCCCCAGCTTCCCATGACCGTGCCCACTATCCCACCCATTTCCGTCCCCCACAAACTTCGTTCGTCATTTTATTCTTTCATTTATTTCTATCCTGTCATGTGCAGTGATGAAAACCCTCATTGATTTAATGAGATAGCTCGTAAACCTTTCACGCATTATGAATTTTTATGATTTCTTTATTTGTAATGCATGAAAACAATAATAAAAAATATTCCATGAAAGATTATTTTCTTATCACGATTGGACAATCTAATACAAAAAAAAGGAATTTGTAGAATACAATTGAAACAACTTTATTTTAAACACCATGGATTTTTGTTTAAATTATGAAGAATATGGTAATCATGATGAATGTGGTTGGTTTTTACTGGTTGCAGATCTAATAGTGGGAAAATGAATTTGGAAATCATTATTTTTCTTCATGATGGTTAAGATGGGTGGGTCAATTTATTAAAAACTTAGGTCTATTTAACATTCCCCTGGATGGATGGGTAAATATATATATATTTTGTATTATAACTATATGTATCATGATGTGATTTAGCAACAACTTTCACCAATGTATGTAGTATTTTATAAACAAAATATTTGTATTAAGATCTACAATGGCTTCCTAAACCTGTCGGGATTACAATCTATTATTACTGCATGCTAATATAACATAAGTAAAATAAAAGGCAAGAAAAGAAAAAAACCCTCCTTTCAAAACATCAGATTAATGCGTGATTGATTTTAGACTTGTAAGGATTATGAATAAAAGATTAAATAAGACATGGTTTTACCGAAGCTGCTCGTTAGCAATTGTGTTTCAATTAAATATAAATTTTATGTAGTATTTATTTTTATGTGTGTATATGCATGTAAAGATGTGTTTGAAAAACACCTGCTAATATTGTAGTCAAACATTGTCTTTACAATTGCTCAATTAACTTCTAGAAGGAAGTTCAACCACCACTTCTTTACCAATTTACAATCTACAGCAAATAAGGAAAGAAATCACATCGACAGTTACTGTTCTTTCTTTTATAAAAAGAATAACTACTGAATTTCTTTTTCTTAATCGATAGAAAATTCCAGAGCCATCTGAAATTCAGCTTCAGTAACCTCACATACTAAAAAAAGAGTTTCCAAAGGGAGGCCAGCGTGAAATTGTGCATAGCATTGAATTGAATGGACAGTCCCCGCGCAAGTTCCGACAAAGACCTCCACCAGGAAAGGTCGGTCCGCAACGTGGACACACGACGTTTACAATCAGAATGGCCGTCACCTCCCAGTCAGGCAAAGTCACCACGCTTATCCCATTCAGGGGCGGAGCTCGTCATCGCGCGCACGCACGCACCAGCGCAAACACCCACTCACGGAGAGTGAGCATTTGCATTTCATGACGCTATCAGGCCGTGTGGCGGAAGGAATCTAGCCAACCCCGGGTCCAAATCGCATGCACAGGTTCCCTGCCCAGGCTTCTCGACTACCTGGCTCGACCCCATAGCTTTACGGAACTTTCGCCTGCGTTTGCTTCGATCGGGTGACGCTGAAGCATTTGAAGAAGGCCTTCGACGGAGATTCTTGTGGAGGTTATAGCAGGGGAGGTTAGTGGTGGGCGAAGGGAAAAGGGCCAGGGCTACGACGCAGGCACCCTGGAGGGAGTAGTGGCGTGGGCGCAGGGTGGTGTAGCATCGCCAACGCGTTCTTCAGCTCCTTGGAGCGGTACTCGTTTGTATCGCGGAGTGTCACGGACAGCGGGGAGGAGAGGCGGAAGGTTTGCCAGTTGGAGTGGCGGGATGGGGCTCGACAAGAGCGAAAGTGAGGGCAGCGTCGTTGGTCCCTTGCACCTTGTGGGCTGTGAGCGGTTTGTGAGGAACAATCCAAAGACGGATCGGTTCGGAGTGGAGCGATTCCATCACGTCGAGTTTTGGTACTAATTTGCGTAATTTTGTTTTCGAAAGCTTCTGCTGCTCGGCATTCTATGGGGAGCCCCCCCCCCTTTTTTTTTTTTTTTTTTTTTTTTTTTTTTTTTTTGTTGTTGTTGTTGTAGTATTCGATCGAGGGGGTGGGATGACGAACTTCTCGAGAATTGGTGCACTGGTTTGCGGTGTTTGTTTGAGCATGTAACCCACGAGAATTTCATGTGGTCGTCGTGCCTTCCGTTTTTTCGTACGTGCGAGGTCGTTGCAGTTCTAACTGGTTGGGTTCTTATCTCGTGCTCTTCGCTTGTAGAGGTTTCTTCAACGGGCGAGGTAATTGATATTTATATGCTTAGCAAGCACTTATGCGGCACACTACAGCATCTCACGAAAGTTTTGAATTGACAGGTGCGGAGATGCATCGAACACGTGGAGGAGGTTTTCCTGGGGTTTAGGTATGCACCTCGTAGCAAAGTCGGACCAGACAACTGGAAATCAAACGTACTGCAGCTATGCGATTCAATCGAATGAGCTCGTGTTTGCTTTCACTGCCCCGTACTCATCCACGATAGATCAAACGAATACTAAAATGCCTCACCCTGGTTACAAAAGTGATGAGGCCAGATCTTTTACTGATTCTCACGGGCTAGCCGTGAGGGCAGTTGGAATCCTTGTGGACGACGCTGATGAAGCCTTTCGCATTAGTGTTGAGCATGGAGCAGTATCCGTGTTAGAACCTCATGTTTTGAGTGATGATGCAAAGGGTGGGAAAATGGTAATGGCCGAGGTGAAGCTGTATGGGGATGTTGTTCTGAGGTATGTTAGCGAGCAGGGATATAAGGGTTCTATGCTACCCAATTACGAGGAGGTTGAATCGCTTCCTCTCTCGTATGGTCTTGTTAGACTCGACCATGCCGTCGGGAATGTACATAACCTTGCGGAGGCGGTGAACTATATTGCTAAGTTCACAGGTTTTCACGAGTTTGCTGAGTTTACAGCCGGCGACGTGGGGACAACAGAGAGTGGTCTAAACAGCATGGTCGTGGCTAGTAACAATGAGATGGTTTTGTTACCTATCAACGAGCCTACTTTTGGTACTAAACGCAAGTCTCAGATTCAGACTTATCTTGAGCACAATGAAGGTCCAGGGCTTCAGCATCTTGCTCTGATATGTGACAACATCTTCTCAACTCTAAGAGAGATGAGGACCCGCACACACATTGGAGGTTTTGACTTCATGCCAAAACCTCCGCCTACTTACTACAAGAACTTGGCAAACCGAGTTGGCGATATCCTCACTGCAGAGCAGATTAAGGAATGTGACGAGCTCGGTATCCTTGTGGATAAGGATGATCAGGGCGTTTTGTTGCAGATTTTTACTAAGCCTGTTGGTGACAGGTGCGTTTAGTGCACTGCATAGCACCTCTACGATCTAGTAATTTTTGCATTGTTGCAGGTGATTGTGTCAAGCTCGTTGCTGTATATCTTTATTAGCTTCCAACTGTGGTATAAGCGCAACTGCTCGCTATTGTGGAAGGAATCCTGCTGTCGTTTCATAGGCTTCTTTTGGGAACGTCTTTATTCTTTGGGTGGTGGTTCTTTCCTTTCTAGAGGAGAATATACTTGTGTCTATGGTTTGTGTGTTATTTACGAGCAGTGTTTGTTGAACAGGCCAAGTATATTTGTCGAGATCATTCAGAGGATTGGGTGCATGGACAAGGACGAAAGCACGGGTGCGACTGTTCAGAAGGGAGGCTGTGGTGGCTTTGGGAAGGGGAATTTTTCGGAGCTCTTCAAATCTATTGAAGAGTATGAAAAGACTCTCGACGGCACTTTGAAAGTGCATTGAATGGTGGACATCTCTTTGCTGTTGACATGTAGGTATATAGATATTTGGATCGACAGGATTCTATTCGTGATGTTTAAAGACCTTTTGAGTCTCTTTTCGTAAGAGAGGGGTTTGATTTTCTGTATGTGTATGAATGTATATAATTATACACATGTCTTCCTATCAGGTACTCAGACCACTTAGGTTGGGTGGATCTTTCAATGTATGATCTTTCACATGTTAGAGCATCCAGGATAAAACTGTTAACTGGTATATTTAATCTGAGCGCTTGCAATGACCTTTTAATTGCTGCCCGGTTCCTTATTGAACAATAACGAAGGTTTCTTCGATATGTGACATTGAGACATGTGACTGTGATTCTTTTACATGGATAGATGATGAATTTGTAACAAACCCATATTGCTATCTATGTCACATACTGAGGTTTAGTTGTTTTGTTTAAACTTAGAAATAGGGCTGCTATCAAGTCTTAAGTGCAGGGTTCTTAGAGTTCGGTGCCAGCGTTGCATTGAGGCTTGCTGTGTTGAATTGTGCACAAGCAAACATTATTCAAGTATCTCTTTTGCTTTTTTATAAATGTTTCCTAGTGAAGTGATCTAACAGCATGTGTGTGTGTGTGTGTGTGTTTTTTTTGTTTTTTTTTTCTTTTTTGTTTTTTTTTTGTTTTTTACTGAGTTGTCAATTAATAATCAAAGCATCTAAACTTAGAGACTGCCACGATTCTTAATCCATTTCGACGAGTTCGTTAGCACACTGCAGGGTTAACGTCTCACCTTTATGTAATAACTTTACTAAGTTGATATCTCTCCAACGATATCTTGCAAGGTTTTGCCGTAACAAGTTAATTGCACACAAACACACAAACAATTCTGCGGGTGCTGGTTGATGGAGGGAGATGAACTTATAAAAAAGTATTTCATGGAAATAAACAATTGGGACCTGTTCAATAATTTCCAACTTATCGGCAAAAGCTCGCAGCCCAAGGGTAGTAAGGGCAGGTTACTGAATGATGAAAGAGCGCAGAGGAAAGTGGAGAAGTTGAAAAGAAGAGTTGCCAAAAGCAACCTTTCAGAACAATGTCATAAATCAACACGTCAGGAATATTGTGAACAGATGTCATTTGAATCAAACTCAAGATTCCACAATCCATGGGAGACGCTGTTATGAGAAGTCCCAGCATCAATGACATGATATGACATGATATGATGTTCTGTATATATATATATATATATATATATATAATGCTTTGTAGCTTTTTGATATATGTAAAAGAAAAAACTCAGGATTTTGTATCTCTTTTTGAAGATGTACTGAAGCATAGTATTCTTTTGGTTCTTTTGTTGTCTTAAATGTAATGCACATGTGCATTTGCTTAAAAATGAGTACATAAATAAAAATAATAACATAAAATTCCACAAGCCCCCAAAATCAGATGAAGAACAGAATAACATGATATTGTACAATTTTTGATGGTGCATTTTCTCGGTAATTTGTATTTTTAAAGTAAAATCTATTATAAACATATAGCTGAAAATTTATCCAATTAAAGCAAAAAACAAAAAAAGTATCAAAAGTTTTAAGTTTGATTCACATCAATCTATTTGATGTAAGCCCTTGTCACAACAGGGAATATTGTAACCATGTGTGAAACGATTTATATGTGCAAGGTAAAGTTGCAAGGCAGTGAGGAATGCCATTCTTTCGTCGAGGTTAAATAACCAAACCAGCGCAGTGCAACATCTAAAAAAGTAGAGATCAAGGGTGTTGGAACACAACAGAGAGCACGGCAATTGAAGGGGATCAAAGAGAAATGGTTTGGCCAGCACTGCGCCGATGTCATCGCTACCTTGGCAATCATTTTCAAGGAGCCTCAGATTTTAAATCCACGTGGACGAATGCTATTCAAGCATTACGTCCACATCATCCTTTTGTTTTGTGCACATGGACGACGTGGCCATGCCTCGTCCCCGAACCTGGAATTAAGGTCTGGATTCGAACCTAAATATCCCGAGCCTCGAAGTTCCACGTCGGAGAGGTTTGCTTGCATGGAATGAGCTCTCGCTCTCGGAGCTTGTGAGCATAGCATTCTGAATTGTCCATCACTGTGCAGATTCTCACTTCAGAGGAGGATAAAAGCCTTTGGATTTCGGTCTGCATTGCTGCTACGCTCTCGATCGACATTTTTCTAGTGGCTGGGTTGGTTGTGGTTTTTGTTGATTGATTGCGATGGAGGCAACCATGGCGGGTACTTCCAGCGCATGCACAGTTGCTGGAGGAGCACTGTGCAATCGCAACGCGGCGATGGGCGTGCGCAGCACGTCGTTTATGAACGGAAGCGGTGGAGTGGCGTTGAAGCTGTCGTGTAGCTGAGTGGGTGAGAAGAGTAGTGACGAGAGGAAGGGGGCTTTGGTGAGCGTGAGGGCGAAAGGCAGACGAAATGCTGGTATTCCTGGTAGGCAGCCCAACAGGCAGCAAATGCTGGCCATGCCCAACATGGAAGACGACGACAACCCCAAGTTTGTGTTGTTCATTCGAGTCTGATTACCAAATTTTCAGCTAAGATTGGATGCTGTGATTGTTTCAGATCCCTCCCCAGGAAGAGCTGAACTCCGTAGTGGACAAAGTGAAGGACTTCTTTGGTAAGATAGGGGAGTCATTTGGCAGCCTAGGGAGTCTACCAGCTGCTTCATAAGAAGAAAACCCAAGTGGAGAATCCAAGAACAATAAGTAGGCAACCTCATCGAAAGAGAATACCATTCCTATAAGAACTGGTGACTAGATTCGCTGACACTACTGTAGGAGCCTGTAACATCGTAGCTTAGGTTTTTTCTTTTTCTTTGATTTCTGAGTTTTAGGAAGTGACTAACTTTGGCAGGATAGTGAAAAAGTGTAAAGAAGAGAAATACCCATGTATGCGGTATCATTATTTTTGAATGAAGAGTCTCACATACAAGAAAGTTTTGCTCACTCGATAATAGTTAATGCTTTACCTTAAATTATATTGGCGACATGCATACCCAGTTCAACTTGTTGCTTACTCTGGACGTTTTACAATCACTGAAGACCATGCAACCTCTATGTTTATCACATTTTATGCACCTCACCATTTGCAACCAGCAGCATCTTATGCAGCACCTAATAACCAGACAAATAGAAGAAAACTATCAAGAGCTCCAACAGGAATATACCAAGCAGTTTTACTTTCACACGCGTCCTCGGTTTGCAGTTGAACGGAGTCTGTGGGCTTTGCGCAATCGGGCCGACAGCAAACTGTTAGAAGGTTGTTGAACCTGACGCACTTGTACAGGTAAAAGAAAACTTGAAAATGAAGGACAGACGGAAAGAAAGGAGTATCTGGAAAGAAAAGGAAGGTTAGGCTTATGTATTTCAGACGTGATACTGATGCGCTCACTGAAGCGCAGCGTGAGCTTATCGAATTGATGCGCTACGCATCCTTGTGGAATGGAAGATAGGTTTGAATCAAGGTTTGTGCGGAAGAGCGCGTAAGCTAGCTGCACGAAATTTGTTCGAGATTGGGGAGTAAGTGGGTTCAAAGGAGTATTCGTGAGAGAGATGGTGAGGGTGGGTATCAGGACGGCTGGATCCACGCGACGCCGCATTGTGGATCTTCCTGCCGAATCGGAGGTACGTATTTGGCAGGGTTTCGGGGTTATTTTCTAGATTGCATGTTCTTCACCTTATGACCCACTACATCGAGAGCATACAGTAACTCGTTTCACTACGAATGGAAGAGCGGGTACATCTTTCTGTAGAACAGCGAAACAATTTGCTATTCCTTGTTAGAAGAAATGTTTTTTTTTTGGTGGAATTGGATTTTTTTGTTGTTCGTTTAGCCGGATGTGATTGACGGTGGAGGAATTGCAAATACCCATGTAAAGTTAATGGGTTATCGACTTAACCTACACGTCAACTAACGGACTTGTAGGAGAGGCTCCTTTGCCCTAAGTTGTCAATCGGGTAAATTTTGCTCGTTGATGATCGCTGTTGAGTGCAGATCGTAAATTCAACTATTGGTATGGAAATCGGGTCTGTGTACAGGTTGGTTGGGTCCGACAAGCTATAGCCCATGAATTTGGTGCGCCCCACGAGAGATTGAAGTTGATTGTGGGCGGGAAAGCGCTTGAGGACGAGATGAATACCAAACCTGTGACTGTTAAGTTTGCTGATGGAGGTACAGATGATGTCAGATGGTTTTGGATCCTTAGGCAATCTTTGGTTGATTGAATGTCAAAATTCATCAGGGTATAGATCGAGAGGAAGATATGTAAGGACTTGCGTTTCGATATTACTAGAATGAGAATTATCTTCATTGACTGGATTGATATCACAGATTCTTTGATAGCGGTGGTGGTTCCTAAAGCTCCTCCAAAACATATCTCAAGCAGGGACGGTGAAATTGAGGATGAGGATGAAGAACTTGTAAGTTATTTGTCAACCGGTTTTTTTTAGCTGAAAACATGTCCGGATTCATACCTTGCAAGATCTGTTAAATTATGTTTTCGGTGTTCAATCTGTTTATCCACGAGCATTTCAAACTTCGGATTTGTGACATGTATATATTGGTTTTGTGTCCCTGCAGAGATTTAAATTACCAGAATCAGCAACTCCTTTACAGAGACAGCTTGGCAACTTCCTGCGAGGGAAGCTGAAAGTTCCTGGTACTACTCCAAATCATTCGTATGCTCAGAGTGTGAGCGATGACACCACACTTGTTTCTTAGGTCTATGCAATGATGGCATTAAGGCTTTGTGTAGTTTTCGGAATATTTTTGCTTCTCACAGACATCATCTTCGGCGTATGCAGATATATTCCTCATTGTGTTGTTCTCCATTAGCCCTCGAGCATGGCTCTCAATAGCCATATGGTTTGTCTTATTACCAATTGCAAGACGGTGGGAATTGGGCCCGGTGTATGTGAGTACCTAATGGCTGTCATTTTGTTCTGATACTTTTCTGAGACCTACCAAAGAATTTTAATCACTAGTCTAGTGCCTTGTTGAGTTCTAAACAATTGAATGTTTGTACAGATTATTATCACTGTCTTCGCGGTAATTTTTATGAACCTGGGCAAACGGCAACCAGGCGAAGCAAGGTATTTTAGTACTTCTAAGCTATCTACTTTGTCTATACGGCTGAGTATCTCTTCTCTCTTGAACAGCTTGCCAGGTGCTACGGTATGATACGATCAGTAAGAACCTTTCTTTTTTAAGATTCATATCTCATGTGAATTAGAGAGAGAATTACAAGTTCTACCAGGTTATTACTGATCTGGATGTTTCTTTTGGCAGTGCCTATTCTATATTCAACGACGACTTTCGAGAGTTGCCAGGCACATTGAATGCTGACAGGTTAGATAGAGATATCCGGGCTGGACAATTTTGAGGTAGTTGTGTTCGTCGATGTGCAACAAGGATACATTCGTTATAAGATCATAATATATAGGAGAGTGTTTCTATAACAGATAATTATCTTTAATTTTCATTAAAAATAGTTGTCGATGGCGAGTACTTGGTCCAGTTCACTATGTCATCTATATTATGCACACAGAATTAAGCAGGCAATGATGGTTATAGGACGGATGTGACGTTTATCAGTTCAATTCCTTACTTCCTGTAGTTGTAACAAATGATTCATAACATTCCATTAATACTGCATGTCGATCAGATGAGAAAAACAATAGTGCTTCTGTCATTAATTGGAAGGTGAGCACTAACAGTGACAAATCTCTGCTGGGAGCTATGAACTTCTTGGGTCAAAACATGAACCATGGTTCAAGAATGATACTTGGCCTCTCAGAGATAATCTCATGGGTTTGGAGAAACAGTTCCAGGACAGATAGATCTAAACAATGCAATTGTATTTATGCAAAATTATACAACTGCTGCATTTAGTCGAACAAGCTAAAACCCATGTCCTGCAAAACAACGAGATATTAACGGTTAGGAAAACGATGCGAAAGAAATAACCTATAAACCTGGACCATTTGAGACTTCATGAACTACATGTGATTCACCTGTGTCAAGCAGAGGAAAAACCGGCACAAGTCCGAAAGAAAACACTACCTTGACGGAACTATGTGAGGAAAAAACGGGCAAACGAATCCAGAAAAAAAAAGTGCTGACCCTTTCTAAGCAAATTGGGGGAGAGGCAAGAGCCAAAATAGAAGTTACATCTAACAGACTTACATCGTCAGATTCCTCCTTCTCTTCCTCCTTCTTAGGTTCCTCCTTCACCTCTGCTGCTGGGGCAGCACCACCGCTGCCAGCACTAGCGGAGGCTACGACAACACCACCACCTCCACCGGAGGGAACGGATGCGAACTTCTCCTTTCCTGCTGCGATCACTTCCAAGATGTCCTTCCCTTCCAACTCCTTCAACAGAAGCCTTACCCTCGCAGAATCGGCCTCAGCACCGACTGAGTACACCCACAGATAATACTCAGAATCCCTATTGATCTCTGCCTGCATTCAAAAATCCGCAACCCTAATCCTCAATTTCAAGAAAACTAGGGTTTCACCTACCTGACCCGAGGACGGCCTCAATGTCCTTCGCGCTGGGAGACGCATTGCCTCCCAGAAGACACAACAGATACGCAGCTACAACCTTCATTTTCGCACCTGGCAGGATCGCGCCAAGGTCAAAAGGAGAAACTGGGTGTGCAGAAGCAGAGGGGATGACCTCGCAAAGCACTCGCAAAGAGAGACTCTACAATCCACTCAATTCCTTCATGTATTGAACCCTAATCATTTCAACGGCTCAGATTGTTACACTGGGAGGTCGCATCCTACGGTTCAATGTCAATCCCAATCGACGGCTGCAAGAGTCACAGAGTCCAGCATGGTTCTCGTCGACGACTTTCGTTGGCCTCTCTTCATAGAATGCCTCATCCGTGTACCCCTACATTGACATTGATTTTAGTCAATGGCCTTTATTAATCATTAATTAACATGAAGAGGTGTGTTGTAACTAATTGACGAGAATTGAATTGATAGGATGAAGAGATTATTCTTAAAATAAGTTTTGAAATCGGCCACCATCTAATATAATAAACTAAGCAAATGTCTTATCTAAAGATTCCTTCTATATTATTGAAATGTTTGTGTGGTGGATATGTATTCATCAATAAATTAGTATGACATTTATTAAAATCGGTTTTTGAGTATTAATAATAATAACTTGATTATTATTTGTAGTAGTAATAATAACAACAATGTTAATCAAATAATATTTAAACATAATTAAGGATCAAACAGATACAAAATTATCATACATATATACAAAGATTTATTTGACACTTAAATAACTGAAACTCAAAACCTGGCTGAAAAAGTTATTGACCATGTATCAATGTGTTAATTTATAATAAATCTTATTGAAAGACATAATTTTAAGCATCATTGCTATTCCATGTTGAAATAAAGTTCTTGTATACATTGCAGCAATTCTGATAGTTTATTTTCTTGGAATTCCATTCTAATGTTGGAATTTGTGAAAAGACCATCAAGCAATTTGATATCACAAGGGCAACATCCATAGCTTTCTATGTAGATGCTCCAAATTCTCACCTATCTAATTAAGTGTAGTACCAAGGTGAATTACTAAACATACAATTTTTTTATTCTTTCTTAACAACTTATATAATAGATTTGCTACACTTGAAAAATAGGGTATCCATATATGATAGAAAATACATGCTCCTAAAGACCTTTTGACTTTTTTTTGGGTTTACATATTCTTTCATCTTTTTAATAATATCAACTTTTTTAATACTTGGCTTACATCCATATGATTGATACATGTGTTCAACAATAAAAATCTCATTTATTTTAAAAATAGACTTTGCACCTAAAAAGATCAAATGTATATCTTCCAACTATAATAAAATCTTCACACAATTTGTAATATGATTTGTAAGAAATCTTTAATATTCTTTTTGATCCAATGATCAATTTTTTTTTTTTTTTTTTTTTTTTTTTTTTCTTCTATGCACCCATTACTTAAAACATCATTTGAGAATGGCATAGTCTTTTTTGATATAAAATCTCTTAATACTTTGTTCATTCCATACATTATATGAGCCACTGAATTAATAATCCTTGAGGTAATGTACACATTCTTACTAAATCCAATGGAGTCTTTATAATAATTAAATCACTACTTTGCAATGCCAATTGAAATTGATTGTATCTTGAGTAAAGATTATTCATTAAATAGAATGTTCTCCCAATAAATACTTTTACAAATTCATTAAAAATTGGACTTGAATTCATATTTCAAATAATTAGTTTATTTGTAAATTGCATATTTTGAATAAATCTCATTGTTTCATTTTTCTTTGGTGTTGTAAACCATCAATTAAAATAAAGTGCCATAGATGGTTTCAAAATCTCCATTTTAATCTTTTCAATGATTAAATCCACTAACTTAGATAAATATGCTCTAGCTACTAGAATTGGTCACAAATTCTATGGTTTATAAAGAATAGTAAAAATAACCATAGATACTACAATACTTGGATCAATATATCCAATTTTATATGCTTTAAATGTAAATACCTTTTTATATAGTGAAAGTATGTTTTTAAAATATTTTTTTTCATATTTTATCAAGATTCCTTCACATCCAACCTTTAATCTATTTGATGTAGCATTTGTAAATTCATGTCCTATTTTCTCAGAATTCCTTAAATTTGGTTGCATAAATTAGATGGTAGTGGTAAAGTAGTCGGTTTAATATCTTTTGTCATTGATTTTTACTTAGTTTCAATACATATCTCTTGGCTACTTAAAATTTCTATAAATCCTTGAATTTCATCATAAAACTCTTTAGAATCCACATTAATAATTCTATTTCTTCTTAATAATCTAAATTTCAATAAATATTTTAATTCTTCTATTGTATCTACAAATCCTATTTCTTTAAATATTTTTGAAATAAATTTATTTTGAATCAATTCTTCAATTTTATTTATTTTTTTAATATTTTTGATATAATGTGTATCCATGATTTCATCTTATCAATAATCTAAAATGATAATAAATAATCTTATATTAATCTAATAAGTTTAATAGATAATATCTTATTTTTAAAATTAAGCAAAAGCCTTTCTTTATTTCAGCCATTGCAATCTTCTTTTACAATGGTGTGAAGTAAAAACCATCAAGGAATTCAAAATTTTTATTTGATAATAGCTTCTCTCTCAACTTATTGCAATTTCTTTTAATAATTTGCACAAATAATCAAAAATTAAACTACCTTCTTTCTATCTCTATTTTTTATTTTAAATAAGATGAACCATCATCTATTACCTTTGTCTCAATTTGTATGGCAATAATATATAGTTGTCTAAATATAATAGAATACATAGATATATCTTATATAAAAAAAATTATTCATGAATAACATCTCATATCATCAACTTGATATTTAGACATGCTCTATATATATTTCTATTTGAATTATTTGCTAATCTTATTATCTACCTATTTTTTTTATTAATTGTATTATATATATATAAAATTCTTTTGACATTAAATTGATTTCAAAAATAATGATAAGAAGCTTAAATCACATCTTTTTCTTTTGTAAATCTAATTTATGAAATATCTTCTAAAAATTGCATTTCAATATCTTCATCTATATTGTTTTCTATTGCTTTTGTTCCTTATGCATTTGATATCATAGTATCTCATATAGATTGTTTTTTTTCTTAATTGTATCAATAAAAACTTCATAAAATTCATGCTATGAAATTCTTAAAATTTCACCAATTATAAATTCAACCTTTCTACATAAAACTTGTTCTTTTAATATCTTCTTCAAATATGTATCAACTTCAACATTTGATTGCAATTTATAAGTAAGAGTATTTTTTTTAATATATATTTTTTCTTTTATAGATATATTCTCTATTTTCTCTTTATATATAGAATTTTTTGTTGTTGTACTTTCTCTCTTCTTATAGAACTTTTTGATGGCTATTTATTATTTTCATCTATCATTTTTTTTTCTTCTATAAATGCTTCATGATAACTTGCAATATATGTATAAACAGATAAACTATTCACTAGATCATTCCATTCAATAATTTGCCAAATATTGTTGCAAAAATATTTTAAAATTATTTCTTATATATATTTTTTGTTTTTAACATAATTCAATGTGCTTGACTATAAAAAAATTAAATTCTTTTAGAAATTTAAGATTTATGCTTAGATATTTGTTTGGATTTTTTTCCACTCAATAGGTTGATACCTCATTGCTTGAGACTTTATGCATTTTAAATGCATCCTTTATAAATATCTTCATTCATCTTTTATCAAAATTTATTTCTAAGCTTCATGCATTCTCTTTTTTTCTTTTAAGTTGGCTGAAACTAAAGTTGCTAACAAGATTAAGCCTCTGAAGTCCATGTTAGATGTTATTATGAATACATTGAATATTTTATCTTATAGAATTGTTGAAATTGAAGGATTCTTTCTAAGATTTTGTGGTGATGCAAAACTTGGAGCAGTTCAATCTATAATATAATCTCTTTCTCAAGCTTCTACATCCAAAGACGTAATAGCACGTATATCTCAATAAGAAAACTTATCTATATAAGAACATAAAGAACCTTGGATTAGTCTTCTAAAAATTTTTAATGGCACATACTTCAAGTTTCAAGAGTTTGTTAGTAAAATTTGATTGATAACTTTTCTACAATTCAAGTGCTATGAAATAAAAGAATCACAAGTTAGTTTAGTTGGAATCTTCCTAAGAAGCCAAGTCTTATTTTAGTTTGTTCTTTTATTTGAAAAAAAACTTTGATCTTGAGCAACTTTGAAGCTTTTTTAGAAGCATTTATAGAGGCATTTAGAGAACATGATAAGGCTTGATGGACAACAACAAAGATTTTTTCATTATATCAAAGATTATGCTTTACATTTGATTTTAAGTAATTAGCTTGTAACATCAATTAGAATAAACAAACTCTCATAAATCAATTCTATTGGAAACTAAAGAATGATATAAAAGACTTATTATTATGATCTTTAAATACTCAATGAAGCTATTAGCTAAACTGTGAGGTATAATAATTAATTACTTTGACACCATTAAGATCAATGCTCATAGACTTTGATAAAACAATGTACTAGAAATTTGTATTTTGCTGCTTCAACAAATACATTACTTCCATTCTTTAGAATTTAGGATATGTAAATTGATGTAGTACAATTCAAATCTCTTATAATATAAGAAAAGAAGCATTTATTTGAATAAGATCCATACTTATATTGAGGTAAAAGAAGCTACAAATTTGAGAATTGTTTGAAGAAACAATGTACAACTATAACTAAGAATACAATCATTTAGGAAAACAAAGAGGCCTAACTATAATAAGGACCTTTTAGTTGGACATTCTAACACCTCAAATTCATCAAGATTCATTTTTTTCTATCCAACATACTTATTATTTTACTATATTTTTATTTCTTAATCTACAAAAATTTCAAACAAATATCTTATTAGATTCAAGAGTATTTGCTTGTTTTTTAGATAAAGAATTTTTTAAACTTCATAAATTTTTTTTAGTATAAAAGTCAAAACTTGTATATGTAGAAGTAATAGATGGTTGATTTTTATCTTCAAAAAATATTACTAATGAGATTATATTCCTAAAAATATCATTTAAAGGCTATAGTAGTAAAATAATATTTAATATTACAAA